GGCATTTATTGCCCTCTCGGGCACTTAGGCTTCGAGATAGGATATTGCACCTTAGACTTTTTTAGCTTCTTGTTCGTCCAAGCTATGAGTATGAGCAGTTTGGATTTCCTGATGACATGTTTGATTTTCAAAAGCAAGCGCTCATCTGTGTCAGGTGGTGTTCAGAATCCGCCGGCTGACGGGGCGTGTTCCCGTTTCCCACCATACATCCCCCTACGTGTTCTAGATGTTTTGACCTCTTCCAAAAACAATCTTAAGGTCGTGGAGAATATCTATTGCCAACAGTTAAGTCCATATTTTTATGCTCTTTGCGTCTTTTTCACTGCTTGATCAGTTGCTTAAAGCCCTATGGAGCATGTTTCGAATCATATTGTGCTTAGTGGATGTCAGATGCGCAGATTCGTAGTGCAGAATTATACCAGACATGGTGGACTTAATCACAGCGCCGTTTCTAGCGTTGCACGGTTGTTTCTCTTTTTACCATCACTAGCAAATCCAAATGCGGACCCCCTTTCTGTATGGTTCATTGTAGAGGCTGAATTGGGTAAATAAATTGGCTGAACGCTGCCTGACATAGATGAACATTTGCTCTGGAAAATTCAACATATCCTTAGAAAATCAAAAATGCGATTACGCATGGCTTAAAAGAACGACAAGAAGCTGAAGAACTCTCTAGTTGAATACTTTATCTCGAAGCTTAAGACCCAAGGTGTGATAGGTGTCATATATGCATGCCTGGGTTTTAGGGGGTTTGCACGCGATTAAATTTAGTTTACGAATTTAAGCGTAAACTGCGCGAAAACATGGGAGGTACGTAGTCTATGTTGGGAAGTCCATACGTCCTACTGCTCTTCAGTTGTGATGAACGCCTGCGAGATGCTAAAAACAGACAAACAGAGAATAAAAAGAACCCTTTGGCGACCACCTTTTTGACAGAACACGCTGAGGTAAAAATCCAGGATAGTACGGAACATTTTCTTTTTGAGCTCAGGGGAATCTTCAAAGCGCGGGACCATCCAGGCAGGAAAAATGGGTGAATTTATTTTTATAAGAATTTGGTGACCAGACTTAAATATGCAGGACTCATCATGAACGATTATGTAAATGCGACTATCGTCTTGATGTGTTGTGCCATGCTGGCTTAAAATTGTCTTCATGCATCAGTGTTGCATGACGCGTGATACCCGATGCCTGTTTAACTGAAATAGCTTGTATGTAAAAGGGATGCGTAATGCGAGATGCCTGTTAACTTGAAATGGCCTGCGGAAGTAAATGATGTGTTATGCGTGAGGCCTGTTAACTTCAATTCATATACACGTATTTTTCGCGTATTTTAATTCTCAGTTCGATACGCACTGTATCTCAGATATGGCTGCCAATTGCTCCATATTTAATCCCTGCATGTTGTTGGTCTGTAAATACTGTGGTTAGCTGTTTTTTGAAGAAAAAGGCTGAAACATCGAGTACAATCGGCGGACAAACTTGAATTTGCTGCCGTTATTCCTTTTGATAAACGCATATAGCCGAAGCATTTCATCTTTCTCTTCATTTTCCTCTTTGTTCTTTGAGGAATAAAGCTATTGATACTGTTTTATCTATATGTATACTGTTCCTCATAAGTGCACTTCGCAATTTGCAAAGCGCTGCCATCATGTCGATAATGATGGCAGCACGCCTTCTACATAACAGTTTAAATACTATGTAAATATTCTGTCCGGTCACTAAGATCAGTCTAGACCAAAGTCATGCCATAACGCCAGGTCGACTTCAGTCACAAACTGAAGGGGGGGGGGGGGCAAATTTTATTTCCCTTGCTGAGAATGTTGGTTGCTTATGGCGATGCGAAATAATTTATTTTAAAACTGATTGCTCCCCTCACCACCAAATTTTGACCACTTCCTCATCGATGTGTATGGTCCTTGCAAGAGGGGTACCGAATTGATAATGTTCGTGATATGCCTGCAGTCGCTTCACACCTTGGTAAATGCTACGCAACACGAGTTGAAGCAAGACTTCAAAGACTGATGACAGCTCCGTTTAAGCAGAAGGTAGCCGCTGCGTCGAGTCCCCCGGTCGGCCGCTGCGCAGCTGAACGCCGCAGCCGGCGGCCGCAGCCCGGCCTGAGCCCCGCCCACCCCCGAGAGGTCAGCGCGGGCCAGGCGGACATATCAGCAGATCCGACCGGGCACCGCTGCGCTCGCCGCGCCGCACAAAGGCCGCTCAGAGGACCGATTCTGCTGCGTGGCCGCGATGCGGGCGTCGCTGATCCTGAGCCGGAGCCGATCAAGTGGCGCGCCCACTGAGAGAGGCCTGCTGACGGTGCCCTTCGCTCTGGCCCCGCCCCCACGGTGACCGCGGCGGTCAGCCGCTCCATCCGGGCAGTGTCCGACGTCCGCTACACCCGGCAGTCGTGTCCGGCCGTCCGCTACCCCGGCGGTGTCCCGGCGTCCGCTACCCCGGCAGTGTCCGGCGTCCGCTACCCCGGCGGTGTCCGCGTCCGCTACCCCGGCGGTGGTCCGGCGTCCGCTACACCCGGGCGGTGGTCCCGGACCGTCCGCTACACCCAGCACTGTCCGGCGTCCGCCCCGCGCGGCAGCGTCTAGCGGCCGTCGCCGCCTTGCGTGCATTCATGATCAAAGCCGTGGATGGGAGGGGTTCGATAACCTCGGCCCGTACCACGCGCAAAACGAAACGGAAATGATTTCCTGGGTGAGGCGCTGGTGCCCATCAGTATTTCTTGCAACCCATTGCTCTGGTGAGTAGTTACCATGCTGCCTTGGTGGGCTCTCGCCGTGCTACCTTGTTCTGGTAAGTTGGGGTGGTGCTACACTCATGGGCTCCCGGTACAGCGCTGTTGAGCTTGTGTTGGTGCTGCTCTGGTATGTTGTCCCGATGCGGCTCTGGTTGTGTTGCTCCGGTGCGGATCTGGTGTGTTGTCCCGGCGCTGCTCCGGTGTGTTTGTCTCGATGCTGTTCTGGTGTGTTGTCCCGATATGGCTCTGGTGTGTTGCCTCGGTGCGGCTCTGGTTGTGTTGTCCCGATGCTGCTTTGGTGTGTTGTTCCGGTGCGGCTCTGGTATGTTGTCCCGATGCTGCTCTGATGTGTTGCCCCGGTGCGGGATCTGGTGTGTCGTCCCGGTGCTGCTCTGGTGTGTCGTCCCCGGTGCTGCTCTGGTATGTTGTCCCGATGCTGCTCTGATGTGCTGCCCCGGTGCGGATCTGGTGTGTCGTCCCGGTGCTGCTCTGGTGTGTTGTCCCGGTGCTCACTGTTTCAGGGACCCAGACCAATTTCAGATCGTGGCCCCCGGTCTTGCTCCTGCTCGAAACGGGTCCCCTGGATTCAGACGTACAGGGAGCCAACTGTTCGGTGTTCGTGGTCCCTGGCTGACTTAGACACCCGCATTGTGTTAGATGGTCGTCAAACGGTGCGAGAAGACTTCTGACTACCATTTCGGGTTATGACCCTACGGGCTGCGATTCTTTGTGACCTTCAAGCAGTCCTTCGTACCCTTATGCCCTCCAACCGGGGTCTTGATAGCCGATTCCGTTGGGCCGCTCGTGCCCCTCTTCGGGCCTGACCAAACACTGCCCTTGGTCGGCTCTGGGCCCCTTGCAAGCAAAGGACCTTCTGTTAGGCCCTGTGGGCCCTTGACAGATGCGGGCGCCCCGGCCAGTGTAAATCACCGACCCCGGCTTTGTGGCTGATTGGGAAGTGAACGCTCAGGCCTATACTGATTCGGAACGGACTATGCGGTACTGGTGGTGCCTGACCGGCATATAGGCCAATCGATTCGGGGTGTCCCTGATCGGCGCAAAGGCCCTCTGACTGCCATTCGAGGGTCTGTCCCCGCAGGCCTGGCTTCTGAGTAAGGCTCTAACCATCCCTTCGTGCCCTTAGAGCCACCAATGAAGCCATTGATCGTTGGATCTGGTGGGCACCCCAGGCTCTTTGGGCCTCCTCTAACACTGCCTCTGGCCGACTTGGGGCTCCTTGCCAGCACAGGCCCCTTTAGGGCCCCCGGGCCCTCTGCCTGGCATTGGAGCGCCCGGTCCTGCGGGCTGGGGCACCTGAATACGACCTCCGCCCGTCCTTTCGGGCCCATAATCGTAGGTCCCGAGGAGCGCGAAGGGTCCCGAGCAGCCTAAGCGGGGGGGGGGGGGGGGGGGGCACTTGCCCCCGTGCCCTCCTATGCCTGCGCTACTGGGCCTGCATACCTACCAGTTTTCTAGAATTAATGCAGCTTCCTGGAGTGGATAATAATTTCAGTTCACCGAG